TGAGGGAGAAGTGCAGTCAATCTAAAAAACAAGAAGATACAGAATTCACCAAGGATACAAAGCAAAAAAGGAAAATTTGAATGCCTGAGATGACCAGCCAAAAACATGTGCAGAGTTACCAGAAGACAGAACATGCTGAACCCACCTCCCCCACAAAAAAAAAACCAAACCCCCAAACAAACTCAAAACCAACACATTCACAGTTTTCCATTCTAGGGGACTGACTACTGAAAAAATAAAGATGGGTGTGACTGACCAGTTAACCCCTACCATGTAAGAAGGCTCAGAGGAGATGGGCCAGGACAATGGGCCCATGAAGCTCAGGGAATAATGATGGGTATGACTGACCACAGCTGTTGCAAAGAAGCAGACTTGATCTCAACACCAAAGGGACCTGAGGGTGGTCTTTGCTTTAGATAAACAGCTGTCAACAGCTGAGTGGATCAGCTGGTGGTGCATTTCTCCCTGAGTTCATTAAAAGAGTGTGAATGTCTCCCTGAGTTAGCCGGACCAACATGCAGAAGCAATGGGCTTGAGCTGGCTTTAACCCACATATGTCTTTGCAGGGAGACTGGGGATGCCCAGTGTCATGATGCTGAGCATATCAGAGAGCCTGGTAATGGGAATCACATTGGTATTGTGATTGAAATATGTATTGCAATTGCTGTAGTCTGCTATGTGTAACTTACATTTGTATTGTGTTTTCAGTATGTTTTGTACCATTCTGCTAAACCAGAAATCCCATGTAACATCAACTATCTTCAATAAGTAAATCTGACGTTAAACATGACAACCTCCACGCATGGAATATCTAAAAAGAACCTCATCAGAGAGAACTGGACTCTGACAACAGGTCAGTTAGATGAGGAGCCAGAAGACAGATAAGCAAACTCTCCAGGAAGATGCATGAAGTATACTTGACTAAAAAATACTTACTCATAACTTAATGCAGGACATACAGAAATAAAGACTATTGGGATGACTAATGGAGGATCTCTAATTAAAAATTATTTTAAAAAAATCTAGGCTCTCATAGTCTAAGCAAAAGGTTGAGGGGACACAGCTCTAATTAAATACAATCAGAGGTTGATGGCCGCCTTCTGAAGCATGGATATAAGTCAGTTCTAAGATCATGGGCCAGCAGTCACGTTTAGCTAGTACACAGCTGCTATAGGGAGCTAGAACATGGACAACATCCCCAGCTTTTTCTACAGTACCTTGCATTTGGGAATTTTTGACCAAAGAAGCTGTGTCCCCTGGTCTCTTGCACCTGTTACAGGGTGAAGGGAAGTATTTTATAGGTGTTAACATTTCTGCTCTAATGCAAATTGATCACAGTGCTATCAAGGACTAGACTCAATGACACAATCCGTTCTACATCCTATGTACCTGTAAATGGCATGGCAAAATTTCTTTTCCTTTTTTTTTTTTGTGTCCTGGGTAGTGGTGGGGCAAAAGGAAAAGAGAATTTTTGTATTCACTAAAACACAAGGCACTTCCAGCACTCAGATCCCCAACTAAGTGGAATGATTTTTAAAGCATCCAAAACCGATCCACATTCCTACAGTATATTACATCTGAAAGACAAAAGACTAAGATTATTTCCCTCCTCATTTTTAATATTTCTACCTACCTACCTGTCTGGGCTTTACAGATAACAAAGAGCTCGCTGGATCTTCAGTTACCAGCTAAGCTCCGCAGCTCTTGTCCTTTCAAGAAAGATCATTGTCTTGCACAACTAGGGTTTTTAGAAGCGGATGTTCTGCACACATTCTAGTCTACATACCGATAATCAAACTGCACCAGTTACAACAGCACTGTAATATATGATGAAGTTATGCCACAGCATAGTCACCTTTAGGAGAAATCCTGATGCCAGTAAAATTGGTAACACAACCCCCGGAGTTTATCTTTTGTTAAACTACACCAACACAACATTTAAAAGTCATACCTACCTAAACTGTTATTGCTGCTAGTTGGCCAGGAAGCTATCCTATCCCTTAACTCTTTCTTTTTACAAGAGTCATCCGATATCACAGAAAGCTCCACTTCCTCCTTCCTGATTTCTCGTACCAGTTCCATGCGGCACTGACTAAAATCCTGGAAGGAAACTTTTCCATTTTCATCTGCTCCCAGCTGGTGCATGATCTCCACGACAGACTCCTCCATATTCAGCTGGCGGCACACCATCAGCAAGTCATTCCTAAGGATATTTTTAGAGGGAAAATTGGGGCAGGGGAGGGATGAAAGTGGAAGAAATATTGGAGAAGTGGGAATGGAGAAGAAAAAAAAAACAATTTAGTATAGAAGAAAATTAATACTGACTCTGTCTAATCTGGAAATGCATTAATGCACAGACATTTAAACCCAATCAGCCAAGTATTGTTTTTATGAATCCAACAGAGGAACTATGAGGTTGGCAAGGAATTACAACACAAAAAGACTATGGAATAGAAATGGGCATTTTTCTGTAAGTGTTAACCTCTATTTTCGTGCTATTATTAACAGTTCTGCCAGCAGATTTGGACACAAGGAAGAACTGAATCCTGCTGTTGATCTTCACAGTACCTTCTGAAAAGGTGTCAGAGTAAGAATTTAAATAATTATCTTCTGAGTAGATCAATGGCTACTTAAATTTCCAATTTACTCAGGACAGGCCAAGGAAATTTCTTTTGCCACTGAACAGCAGTAAGCTAAAGAGGGAAAAAATGAAGGACAAAAAAAAAAACCAGCAGAAAAGAGAAAGGCCCTAAATCACTTTTCATTCCACAAATCAGAAAGGTATTTTGGATTCAGCAAGCTTGCTACATAATATTGAAACCTTTCTCCAAAATATATAACCTAGAATATATTTCAATTAAGGACCCCAACACTAGGAGAAGAAAAATAAATTTTCTTAAATAGAATTTTTTAATTTAACCTTGAATTAATTTCATTTTAATTGGAAAAACATAACAAAAAAAAAAAGTACCATCTAACAGGTTACGTAATAGGTTTCAAGGTCATGTTATCTACCAGGTCAATGATACCTACATTTTGAAAACAGCCAGAAAGGACTCTAAGGAAGCCGTAAAGTTGAACTCCTGCCGTCACAAGAAACTGTTCTTTTAACAGGAAAACATTGGGTTATTCTATTATAATCTGTTCTAATTATTTAGCCATCCACCTATCACACCAATCTTCCAAGAACTGTTACATGTTCCATCTTCTTAACTTCTACTAACACAGTTTAAAAACACAGGCTTTCTCTAACAGTTAAAAGATGAGCCTAACTTACAACTTGATATAAATCTGAAACATTTAGATTTTCTCCCCCAAGAGAAATTAAATATGTACATATGTCATATGTACTGCATTCTACAATAATATTGGGCAGTTAAACATATAGATCAAGCATAAACATGCATAGTCTAAAAATTACAACATAAAGTATTTGGGGGTTGTTATTTTTTTATTTGGTTTTGTTGGTTGGTTGGTTGGGTTTTTTATAAATGGAAGACCAAAATTAAAATGCGTGGAACTTCTGTTAGACACTCCAGAACAGTATCAGTGACATAGTCTTTTTCTTTCCCAGAACAGCCATACTCCCTGCTGCGCTCACTTTTACCTTGTTCTGATTATCACTTTGGTAAGCATGAAGAACTACCTAGGTAAGCATACATGCACGCTGCACAGTACCTGCAAGGGGTTGGCTCTGAGGCTGAACAGAACCAGAGGAGCAATTTTCCTGTTCTTTTCCCATCTTACGTTCTACCAAATTTATGAAGGAAGTCTAGTAAGGATGGTTCTACAGCCACTATATAACACCAAGAGCAACTATATATTTATTGAAAACTGTTTAAACTTCCAGCTACCAAAAAAGTATGGTTATTTTGCTGGGAAACATCTAATCTTTGCTTATGCAACTTGCAGTCTAAGTGCACAAATACCTTTGAAGAAGAGAAGTCAAAATTAAAGATGTACCCACGTTCCCCAGAGGCAGGTAGAGTACATAAACAAACAACATAAGAAAACCTGTTCCACACAGTTGTGTTGTGAGTCACTTCTAGACCAATACTGTAGATAAACAGTGATCTCTTTGAAACACTAATTCAAAAAGGACTAACCTGGAAATGCCTGTTTAATGGAGTGCTTCGTAGCATCCTCAGGAAATGAAGCAATAAGAAACTGCTGATATAAAATATATACTGGAATTCTTGGAGTTAGGTTGTGTCCTTGGTAGGAGCATGTTTAATTCAGTTCCCTGGTGTAGCCTGGGCTACTCCCTGGGCTTCAACTACACGGCCTCTTCAGGTTTCAGCTGGTGTCAGTGCCTTCATGAAGCTTGAAGACAAGCAAGACCAAGACTTCTACATACCTCAAGCATGTCCTGCTCCAGGAATTTCACCGTGTGGGATTTGATCCAGCAAAGGCAACACCTGCCTAAATTCGTAACACGTGCTGCATGCAGAATTCTAAAGCTGCTTTTAGTTGAGACAGCGCATAGAAGTGGGATGCAAATCAAAACAAAAACACACTTTTTGCCTCTATTTCTTCCCCAGTCTTTGATATAGACCTAGGTCAAATAATATCCTCCAATTTATTGGTCAATGTGATGGAATTGCTCTGTCAGTTGAAGGTCTCCACATGTAAGAGAATTGTCATAGGTCACGGTGTAATTCGTAGGTATCCTCCAGTTCCCTCAACAATTACTATTTTTGATGGTTTAACAACACAGAAGCTATCTCCGGTGCGGATCATCCTGACAGACTCATTCAGCATTTCCATGCTATCTTGCAAATGAAGAGGTAAAGCAAGACTGAAGTTACAGCTTCTGAAGCAATAATTAGGACACCTTCAGAACTGCTGGAATTTTCCACCTACTACTACCTGGACGCCCTGAAGAAAGGGCAAAGAATGAAGAACTACAAGCTTATTGCAACAACGCATCTGCCTGGCAGTTGTGGTTAGGGAAGAAGGCCGTCAGCTTAATCTCAGCTTAATAAAGTGCATTCATTCGCATCACTACTATTCATACATAGACTGATATACATGTAAGAAATTGTTTACACATCAATTTATTGGGAAGAGTCAATACATTGTTTAACAAAATTAATTTTGTTGCAAAGGCATTCTTTTTGGTTTTATAACCTAGTACTAGAGTACCTAGTAGTATTCATCTACACTTACAAACCACTTTTTAAATTAATGTAAAAGATATGCAATAATACCCACATTGTTTATTTTTTATGAGAAGTTCAATTTCCTTTTTACTGTCACAATACTCCCTCTTTTCTGTGTATCAAATATACTGTCAGCACAAGGCAAAAGTTGTAAAGGAGATCTGTAACTAAGCTGATGCTTCTGGCAGGTCATGAATAATGCAAGGCAGGATGGGATGCAGAATAGGCACATTAGCTGGACACACTTCTTAAAATGCTGAGCAGCAATACTGTTGATATTGGGATTTGAAAACTCACACTGAGGCTTCAGCTTTACCATCTCATGGTGATGAGAAAGGGAATTCACACAGATGTTTTTTCATGCTACATGAAAACTTGGGAAGACAAAAGAGCATTGGTTGGCATTTGCTAGTTACAGGATTTTTTTTCTATTTTTTCCCCCAAATATGAATGAATGAAAGCAAAATGTAAACACAAAGTTGAAAGCAAATGGGAAAAAAAGAGGTCACTAAAACAGACCACAGACCCACAAGGAGGTATTTATTCAGCAACCACTGGGTTCTGTGTACTTAAGTCTACATGGCACTATCTGGAGTCTTGCGCATTTGCCTAAGTATCCTACAAGCACAAAAGACAAATTGCAAAACTCAGCAAATAACCTCTTAAATAGCAAAGACAGGCAATGAAGTTCTAACAGTGGAGAAAACACATGTGACTCAAAAAAACACATGACAAGAAAAGTGCTGCAGGAGTAAACAAGGTGGCCATGTTCACAGGGAGAAATTAGCCCATACAAGGAAGGAGAGAGAACAGAGGAGGTGTAGCGTTGACCACATTGTGCCAGCATTTTTGAAGTACAGAAACTATTAACCTCTGCAGAAGGAGCACAATATTGCTTCAAACCGTTCTAAAGAAAAACTACTCCTACACTCCCAAACATGTTCTGTTCTCCCAGCATAGCACAGTGAAAGAACCAGTGCACACAGCTGTTGTTATGGAATCAAGGGAACGTAAGAGCCAGAGAAGCTTCAGGAGAAGAAAAAGGAGACATAGCTTGGAGGGAAGGAAGCTGGTAGGAGTCTGTTCTTGGAAACTGGATGAGAAGGTAAAGGAAAAGCAAGGACATTTTAGTTGTGTTTTAAATCTAAAGAGGATTAGCGCAGAACTCCATTGTCAGAATTGTATAGGTCAACTGAATGAGCCTGATGTTATTAAAATGTCACCCCACAGAAATACAGCACATAATGAGACCATGGAAAAGACTGCAAAGGAAAATTATACAACAGGGTACCCAATGACAGGAAAAAATACACCCACATCATCACTGATGGATGGGTGTCTAAGTTGTTTTTAAGGCTGCCACAACCTGAGTTGGTGATACGTCCTAGTGCTTCACTGCTCTCTCCTGCAAGTTTCCTAATTTAAAACTTCCCAGCTGCAATTCAGAGCGTTACTTCAGAAAGGAAGCTAACAGTCTGTTTTCTGAAAAAACAGTGGATAAGAAAAATAGTCATTACATATTTAAAAGCCATCATCTCATCAGATGTCCCACCTTCTTTTGAGTAAAGAACCCCAATTCCCGCATCTCTGATCATCTTCAGTGAGCTGTTCTCATGTCTCTCCAACTGATCCACAAACCTGATGGATGATGGCATGCAAAACTAGACACCAGCTTAAAGCATTCACTGAAAAGAGTAGAAAAGTTGAAAGCAGAAGTCCTATCTTACAATAGCATGATACTGTTTAATCAAGCTTAACTTGAGACCTACTATAAATCTCAGAGGACTTTCAATTGCACATCCCCTGTTTTTGCCACCAAATGATATGCACTATCATATATTTATCCCTACTTTGTCTCACTTGATTTTTTTGCAAGCCATGTCTTCAATTTCTCAGCACCAGTTTTGACTCCAATCTTATCCCCCAGCATGTCTCCAATCTTCCTTAGCTTGGTGTCATCTCAAATTTAAGAAAGCTTACTTATTATCATGTCATCCAGATCATTAATCCTTAATAGTACTGAACTGGGCCAGGCCATCCTTC